TGGCTGGAGCAGAGGGCTGGGAATCACCAAGAAATCCCTGCACCTGCCCTTGGGCTTTTATCTCCTCTGGGATTTGTCTTTTCCGAAATTCCACAGATGCTGCTGGCAATAAAACCTTCACTGAACAGCAATGGATTCTCTCTCTGTGTTTGGGAGATAGGCTGGAGGCAGCTGGGGCTTAAATCTTTACAGGTATTAGATTGAGCCCCAGCTCAGGGATTTCACTTGCCGACCTGAGACCATGGAAGCACCAGGTCTTCTGGCATTATTGGCCTCATCTCTCTCATCCTTTCAACCCTAAACACCAGTCCAACTCTCCGTCATTAGCAGGTGAGGCCAGGGATGCTGGACTTGTGAAGGATCCACATTCTTCCAGCCAATGAAACTTTGACCCTGAAACAGGACACGGGCCTGCTCACAAGGCAAACAATGGGATGCCACGCGATGAACAGCTTGGTTTCTTCTTTCAAAATGCTCCTTGCCCAGCTTTGCTGTCCCGGACCCACAAAGGCTGGAGAGCACTGGTGGAGAGAGTGATAGCTCAGCTGGAGGGTCGGAGGTTACAACTCCTGGGCTCTGTTTCTTGTGCTGGAAAGACTGCGTCACAGTTCAAGGCCAGAAGGAACCAGCAGACCTTCTCGTTTCACCTCTCGTAAACCAGAAGCCAGATCATTTCACCCAGCTAGCCCAGAAAATTGGGGTCCGATTAAAAGGATTTCCAGAAAAAATTCCAGTCTGGAATTGGAGATACCAAGAAATGGAGATTCCAACCCTCCCCTTGGGGCTCGGAGCCAGCACGGTTATGGGAAGACACCTGTGTCTGCAGTTCTCAGCAAGCAAGAAGTACCCAAGCCCTCCTGAAGACCAAAGCATCCTTATTCAGTACAGGAGGCCTAGTCTGAGCAGAGATACCTTAACCCTTGTCCAGTTTCAGTTCTTCCCAGTCTAGCAGCGTGCCTGAAAAGCACAATGAGCCTCCCTCAGTGTTTCTCCAAGCCAAGGGCAGAGTTAAGCCGGTCACAGTGCGGCTCTCTGCAGAGCCGGGTGCGGGTGCGGGTGCAGCTGCAGTGCAGGAAGTCCTGGGCGTTCTCTGCCTTGTGCTGCAGCTGCAAACGGAGGAGATGACCACGAAGGCCTCTCCTGATCTTGACCTCTAAATGAGCCCGTTCAATGACCTGCTCCAAAATCCCCGAGTTGAATCACAGAGCGTGCCTGCAGGGAGAAGTTATCCCGGGATAAGACGCCATGCGAATTCGCTGCATTAGGGCTTTCTGGAGTAACTCCCTGCATGTCCCTGCCTATGAATTCCAAGTTACATCCAAATAAGACACTTTCAATCTGGTTTCGGAGCATCCACACACATGGCATCCCCTGAATACATATTACTGAATAACTCCATATGTCATCCTGTCAAGCCAGGTCTTTCTTGGTTTGCTGTCTGGTACCATGTAAACCAGTACAGCCTGTTCCAGGGTCAGGTTGTCAGCGACTAAACCCCCACATGGGCTAGCCTGGGTGAGCAGGGTGTGTGGAAACCCAGCAGCACTAAAAGCAGGACCTGTCAAAGGAAGGATGAGCTTCCTGCAAAGCAACCCAACTAACCTCATAAGGAGGATTGTCACAGCATCTAAAGGTGCCCCAATGGTCGCAGCAACCTCAGGACCGATTTGACTTGACCAGACCAGAACAGAGTTTAGGATTAGGTCCATGTTTATTCCAAAGTAACAGCAACGTAGATCTAGGGGGTTACTGCTAGGAAGCGTGCCAGTTTTTAGGCAGACCTGTCCCTGAGCGGGAGCACAGAGTCTAATACGAGTCAGAGGGTTGCACAAATAAAGAGAAAATATATGCAAATGGTGATGCCAAAGTGACTGAGCTGAGATAAGATTACCCAGAGCAACCCAGGAGCTAGAAATAACATTGCCTCCTGGCTGTACCAGCTGAGTTCCCTGACACTTTAATTTCAAGTTGCTGCCTACCTAGCAGAGCGTGTGTATGTGTAAATACACACACAAACACACGCACGTACGTACATATGTATGTACACACTTACACATACACACATGAAAACACAAACACGTATGGATGGATGGATGCACTTACGTACGTACACACATACACAAGCAAGCAGTATCTGACTCGGATCAGCCACCTGTTAGCTTTGCCCTCTGCTGCCCTGTGGTTTGGGAAATAGAGCTTGGAGAAGCAGCGACTCTCTTCCTTGCAACCTGCTTTTCATGCCCAAATATTCTCCAGGCATGGAAAAGGCAGCGAAGGAGCAAACTTCCCCCAGGGCCAATACCTCTGCAAACACTGGGCTGCTTGCTGCAGCTGAGGACAGCTCAAGCTAGTGGTGAAGGCAAGTCATATTCCCTATCCAAATCCTGGTCTGACCTGATCCTGCCTCAGGATCTCATCCATTCCTGAATCAACCTGACCCAGCTCCCCAAGGGCCTGCAAGAGAACTTGGCCCCTATTTTATGGAGGAGAAAACTGAATTGCCAGGAGAACAGCCACACCCCAGAGGCAAAGGGAGTCATTGCCACAAACTGATTAAAAATTGATACGATGCTTATTTTTAAAGGGGCAGCAGGAGCTATTGAGCAGGGGAGTGAGGGGCACAGCCTTCGAGTTGGAAAGTCCTTGACTCTGGAGACTGCAAAGGAGAGAGGAACGGGGGGAGGACGGCACCCTGCTCAGGTCCACCCTCTGCTCTCTGCTGCGGTGACACAGGAGCCTAGGCAAGATGGACCTAGGGTCTGACCCAGTAGACGGCAGTTCGTGTGTTCTTAATGACAACCAGCCTCTCCCTGCGAGAGCTGGGAACAGCATCCAGAAGCCCTAAGGATGCTCAGCTAGCCACAGAGCTGCACCTTGGATGGAAAGCATTGGGGCCGTTCACATACCCCCAAGATCAGCTCCTAGGACGGTTTCTGCGTCTTACGCTGGGCACTCACGGGTATAACCCTGCAGGAGTCTCCCCCCTGCCCCTTCCACAGGGGCACCCTCCTCGCTGGACTGCAGAATCAGGAGCCCTTCAACTTGCTCTTCTTCTAGCCCGTGGCGCTCTGCCCGTGGCCACTTCCCCTGGCAGCGGGGGAGAACCCACGTGGCCCAGCCGATAGCCCGGGGAGCGGGAGATGTACATTTGAGTATATCTTGAGACTCGGAAAGAGGTCTCCTACCCGAACCCTGGACAAGTGCCCTAACTCCACGGCTTTTGGACACTGCCGCGGAGAGCCGAGCTCCAAAGCTGTGCTCCGTAGGGTACCCACGTTCTCAAGGGGACTTGGGGTCTCTCCTCTGGGTGCTCTGGATCCAAAAGGAAGAACACCTAAGCCTTCCAGATGGGGGAAATTCAGACTCCCCCTGCCTTTTCCCACTGGCTCCAGGCAGCCCCCAGCACCCTGGGGTGCTCTTTGGAGACACCCAGCTCCTCTCATTCGCTGCAGGGAACCCTCGGTGCCTCTGAACCTCACTCTCAGGCCAAGGACCCAAACATCTAGGTGTGGCAACGCTTGTGAAAACCATTTGGCTCTGCAAAAAGAGGAATTGTGACAGGATCACGGGAAGCAGCAGAGCCCACAATCTGTGTTACAGCTGCCTGGGCACACCCGCCCCACGTGGCAGCCAGGCTCATACATCACGTCGTGTTTTCGAGCTGCTTGGGATTTTCCGACCGTGCCCTGGTGGGTATCTTTGTAGGGCACACCAATAACCCGCTCCTGGAAAGGCGCCATCAGGAGGGAGGCTGACACTGAGGAAGCCAGTAGCATGTTTTCCTGGCACACAAGCCTAACATGAGTCAGGTGTGGGCGTCCATGGGTTTGGCTCATTTACCTGGTTAAACTCGTGTGTCAGGGCTCTGCCAGCCAGGGGCATAGAGTGCTCCTGGGTCCCACAGCAGTAAACGGAGCTGATACCGGGGAGGCATGCTCCATCCACTGCCCTATGCCTTTCAATGGTCAGATCCTGCGGCCAGTGCAGCCTCTCAGCTCAGCACAGGGGCTGGTGCAATGGAGCTCACACTCAGCCGTCACATCTAGGCACTGCCGTCAAGCTGGGGATAAGCACCACGAACAACAGAAGAGTCTCCAGGCCACCCGATTTGCTCAGCAGCCCCATTCAAGACACAAACGTGGCATGGTTCTGCTGGCACGGACAGTGTTGGGAGGGTAGGAACAAACGTGGCCTCGAGGTTCAACAGCAATTCAGGGGGAACGAAGGCACGCAGAGACGTGCCGAATCACATTTCTCTGGTTTTTGTAAAGGGAAGTCCTGCTTCAATCTTCTGAGTCCTCCGAGGGGGCATCAGGAGCTAGAGGAGACGACCAAATCAGTCTCTCCGCACATGAACCCTCCATGAATGAGCCATTGCAGGGGCTTGATCTAAATTCCTAGAGTCGAATCCAAGAGCTCCTCTTCAGGAGACGTCATTCCTGGGTAAGACGCCACGACGATCCGCAGCGCCAGGGTTGGTCTGGATACAGGCCAGCTGGGGAATTCCCAACTACACCCAAAAGAGATGCTTTCGATCCAGATTTCGGGGCCAGATTATCTAGCCGGGTGGAGCATCTACACAAGCCTGGAGAGGATCCAGAGCTAGGCTCCACATTTCATGCAAGGCAATGACATAGATCTGTGGCGCTGGCCATTGGGTCCTGCTGCAAAGCGTGCCCGTCTTCACGAAGGCTTATGCCTCAGCAGCAGCGCCCCATCCCACGTGAGTCAGGGGTTTGGGCAGATCAACCTAAAACAGGTAAGGGGACAGTGATGGCAGAGCACCTTCGATTCAAGGTCTGATGAAATCACCAGAAGCAACCCGGGTGACAAGCTCATGCACCATGTGTTCTCAGTGGATGAATGGCATGTGATTTTCTAATCCTAGGTTGCTGCCTACCAGGTAGACTATATAATTTCATCCTTCAGTGTCTGATGCATGCAATCAAGCAGGTCAGCGGCCTGCCAGCCTTGCTCCATCTCCCAGTGGTTTCAGCACAATGGTTCTTGAAGCAGCCGTGACTCTCTTCCTGGCAGTCTGCGTCTCAGCCCTGGCTTTCCAGTGGGAGTGGGAACGGTGGCACCGAAGGAGGAAACTGCCCCCAGTGGTGAATCTTCTGCAACATGTGGTCCTTTTCTGGCGGTCTTGGAGGTCAGGGATGCTCAAGCCACTGATGGAGGTGAGTAACGTTCCTCCCGTGGATCCAGGTGCTCATGTTGGCCTAACTGGGAAATCTTCCGCTTCTTGCCTCTTGGACATGTCCATTCCCCAGGGCAGCTGGGTCAGGAACTTGGCCCCTATGTAATGGGGGAGAAAACTGAGGTGCAGAGAGGAGAACTGTTGTGCCTGAAGCCCCGCGAGGGTCACTGGGACAACTGGGAAGGGTCCTGGGGGTCTGGGCTCCTAGCCCTTGCCACTGCCCTTCCTCAGGCCGGATTCCTGCATTGCGAATACAGCTCATTTCCCCTTGCTTTTACCACTACGCCCCTCTCCTCCCCTGCAGCCAGGAGTCCAGACTCCCTGCCCGCAAGTCTGCCATTTTACTCTAAACCTGCAGCAGAGGCAAAAGGAACTTTTGTAGAAGGGAGCTCCGCCAAAATTTCTAGAGTTGAGACTCTCTCCAAAACGCCCTCTCCTCAACCGCACTGAGGTTACTCTTTATGAGCCCTGCCCTGCCCTGCCCTACACTGAGATTACAGCTGAGAAAGGCCCCGGTCCGAGCACAGCTCGCAATGCAGGCAGCACCGCTGAAATCGGGCAGCGCAAGACAGACATCAAGTGATGTATGTGCTCAAGGGCTCACCTGAATGGGGGCCAATAGCCAGAAGAGCCACGCTCATATACTTTGCGTGGTCAGCACTCCCAGAGCAGGCTGCAACATGGGGGCGGGGGGGGACACCACCATATTTCTTCCCCCTGACAAATATTTTCCTGAAGTGGGCAGAAATCCCAAGTTGCTGGAGGAGCAGGTGGTTCTACACTGTCATCTCAGCCTGCCCCTCTTTCAGCTCAACGACCACCCCCCCACGCAAGCACTGGGAAGGCCATCCAGTGGTGCTAGCCACGTTCAACTGACCGTGCTCCAGCTAGGGCCACTAAGTCAGTCAATTGACCAGTTAACTATATTCAATGGACCGGTCAATTGACTGCTTATTTTTGATGAATCACAGATTATAGCAATTTTACAAGAAATTATATTCGCTGCAGGGCCCTCGGAGATGACCACAGTGGTCCCAGCGCAAATGGCTTCTGCCCTTGAAGAATTGTTTTGATCTGGCAGAAAAGGAAGGGAGCAGATGAAAGCAGCTCACTCTCTTTGCAGCTGTCTGGGAGCATCGGCCCCAAGTGGCAGGCAG